TTTTCCCAGCAGGGTTGCTTTGTTCAACATGTGCTAAAAGAGACTTTTGAGAAAAGTGTTATACCAGCTGCAGAGTCCAAAAGAAGAATGAAGTTCAAAGTTAACATGGAAGAGACCAGTTCATGGCATGTGAACTATGAATAGTTAATTACAACGTGGAAAAGCACTTTTCCTCCAGTAATGAAACTCACTGCAGTAACTTAAATGAATCTTTAATGCTGGAATATTCATCTCTCACACAAAGCCTGCATGCCTCTAAATGATAAAACCAAGTTTCATCTTGGGTAAAAAGACCTCCATGCATTCTTTTCAGACATCAGGAAGCTGACATACCATAACAAACACACTACAATAGGCACCTCCTTTACTGCTGCCCAAAAAAGCAGAACATATGAGCAACACTTACTTAATGCTGCTGAACTGGAACCCCAGGTTATTTATATAGCTATTCAAAGCAGCACACATGTGAATAAAGGCTAACATATTAAAAATAAAGTAGATTTTAAAAAATAAATTCAATACTTCTCCTCCATTCCAGTTTTGGGGAAAAAAATCTACATGCAATTTTTGATCTGGGCCATAGCAGGACTGGGTGCATGTAACTCTTACACTGAGATGAAACTGTTTTCTTATAGAAAGGTAAGGTCAGGAGCTGTAAGGCCACGCTGAATCAGCAACCTGCCCTGTAGCACTCTTTTAATTCTTTTTTAAGAACTCAGCAGGTGTGGAAGTCGTTCTGACCTCAGGTTTTTTTGCAAGCCAGTTCTGCCACCTCTTATGCAGCTACAATGTATATGCAAACCTAGTTTAACGTCCACAAAACAGACACACACACTTACCAGTTCCTGCAAACATCCCTGTCTGCTCCCTTCATCACTGTCTGCGTGTTGCAGGACTATTTGCTCTACTGGCTGAGGAAAAAGCAATGTGCTCCTAGCAGAGGCTTGCTAGGCACACACAGGAACTATTTGCTAAGTCATGAGAAAGTGACAAGTGGCCCTTTCTGCTCGGATTTTATCTCGTGCTGGGAAACTTCTTCCCAGTGGAGCCAAAGCACCCTCGGGGCCTTACTGCCCCCAAGGGGATTCCTGGTATTGGACCAGCCTTGGCACATGCAGCTTAAAACACCCAAAGCTCTCCTCATCTAGCACACCAGAATACACAGATGGAAGATGAGGGAAGTGAAAGTACCGAAGTACTTGGGGTAAAATGTCACACCAACAACTTCAAAAGAGACCCCATGATCTGATAATCAAAGCCAAGAAACTCATGCTCTGTTCTTTTTCTTACACTACAATGCAGAGCTGTAGATGTTACACATGCAAACCATGTCAGAAAAGGTTAAAAAAATTCAAGCTGGAGGTAACACTATAAACACCTCTCCCAAAGTATCCATAGCAATCCAGCATTTGAAAAATCCTGTCTGAAAGACTCCATGTAAGAAGCAGCTTGCTTCTTCCCCTTTTGACAACCTTCCACTCCTAAACTCTCAGCAGCTAAGAGTCCAATCATTTAATGTAACCACTCCATCCTTCTGACATTTGTAGCAATTAAGGAGGCAGTGAAAGGACTGAACCAGGCCCTACTGCACTGTTAAATCAATGGTGATGGTGGCCAGCCAACAGGAACTCCTCTTTATCCTTTCCCTATCACTCACATTAGAACACAAAAAATCCTTAAATGTAACTTCTGAAAGTCAGGATGTCTTCCTAAGCAAACTCTGTTGAGCTCTGACTTACAAAAAAATGATGAGTTATAGGGGATTGTACTTTTTTCCCCCTAAACATCGTCAGACACAAAAATTGGGTTGTTAGTCTAAAAAGATGTCTTACTAGCTCACACACTGAGGTGAATCTCAGAGACTTACAAGACATATCGCAGTGAAGTTATAAATTCCCTGGAATTACAAAGAAAAAACCTGCAAGGAAAGTATTATCTAGCAACTGCACCTTTATAAATATGTTGATATTAGAAGATGAAACAACGTTCTGTACTGTTTTCAGTGTCATTCCATAGCTGCATAGTTAAAAAATATCTATTTTCATCACAATTTCCAAGAAACTCTTTATACATGCAGCACAAAGACTATTTCAAAAGCAGCAATGTCTTCCTGCTGCTTTCCAGTAGCTTAATTGAAGAGTCTGGTTCTAAGTTCTGGTAAAACACAGCTTTCCCCTGTGAGACAGGGACAGAGATGGGTGAACACCCCAGGGTACCCCATCAGCTGAAAATGCTGAGATGCAGGAGCCAGTGATCTCATTCCCTATAACTTCTTTTCACAGTGAGAAAAGTAAAGACAAGGAGACCGAAATACTTGCTTTTTAACATTATCTCAACTCTGAAAGTTCTCACAGCCTTTTATGGGCAGGCAATACAACCTGATAAAACTTAGTGAAAGGAGAAATAAAGCATAGAATAATTCATGACATAGCCAAGGTCAAAGGAAAAATAACAGAGCCTGGACAAATCAAGAATCATACTCTCCAGTCCCCTTCTCCAGGCAAAAGAACTTTGTTGAATGATAGGATATGGTGAAGAGAGATCCAAATACTTGGTTAACTCTTACCTACTTAGATGTCTCTTGCACTAATCAGGAATATCAATTACTGACTGATGCACAGTCTTTTCTGCTAAGGTAAAATGACCATTCTGCTGAAAGCCAGTCTCATCAGCTCAACAGAGGCACTTCTGACAAATTAAAGTAAACTGAAAGGTCAACCAAGGACAACTATTAAGCTATAAAAACACCTGTGCAGCTTGGCCATGTACAAGAACAGTGTTCACTGCTGCTGTGATCTCATCTTTACAGAGAAAGAGACCCCCAGAACTGTAATTAGGTATTAACTGGTAACAGAATTGCCAAATTCAGACCAGCATCCTGCAGGAAAATGCGTAGCTGACTTCATTAAACCTAAGTAAAACCAAGACCACGCATATGAATGAAGCTGAATGTATGTGTAAGTGCTTGCAGACTTCTGGTTTAGCACATATTTTTATCACAAAATATCTGTGAAAGATTAGTGATGCTCCATTTCCCACAACAAAGAATTTTTACACACTGGTTCAGTAATATGTGGTGTTTTTAAAGGGGCACAACTATTCAGATTTTATGCCAATTTTACACAATTTAGCATTTGTGTAGTACACGATGGACCATGGGGTTTTGATTCCAAAGTGAGAACAAAAGCCAGTGGGCAGCGAGCACCATTCTTCCTGCAAGAGTTTGCCATTTGCTGAAGACCCAACCGGCAGAGAACGTTAACTTCCTGCACCTTCAGCAACTCAATACCTGCAGGAAAGAACTAAGATAGATTTCAAGCAAGTTACTGTATCTAAATATTGAAATCCCTTGTACACACAAAAAAATGCATTTTGGGGCCAGCTTAAGATTTCATAGATATTGCTGTCCTTATAGGCCATCATATTTTTTGCATTTTTGATTTAAATAACCAACACTAACGTGTACAGAGTACATGGAAAATACAGGCAATTACTTCATACAAGTCTCAATTAGCCATTGAGTAGTTTCAGAGCTATCTATTTCAAAGGCACCTAATATTTATTTGCCAATCACTTATTAAATAACATGCCAGAATCACTTTTTAATTTTCTGAGAAGCTCTACCTTTAGTTTTTTTTATTTTCTCCACTGCCAGCAGAACACTTGGCCCACCTTTATCTAAGCTCTGCTGAACATCTGTTGCATTACATGAGTATTGTCAGGCCCAAAGTCTGCTAAAGAGCAACAAGGAAAAATTTTGTGGAAAAAGCCAATTAAAGGCACCACAAGAGCTGCCACGCAGGCTTATCCTTCACCTCCTCCATCAAGACATGCTCTTTTCTCTGGGTCAAACACTAAAACACTTCTGTTCTCCAAATGTCTACAAGCCCCGTGGCTGTGTCTCATCAATAAAGTTTTCATCTACCAGGTGAGATTAAGCAGAACAAAAATATAATCTTCTTCCAAACCCGAAGTCCCTGGAACTGGGAGCTGCTGGGATTTTACATCCGAGTCTGGCAGGTGAGTGCAGTACAAGGGATGACACACCTGGGCTGGGAGCCCTGTCTGCCCCCGTCCCTGGGACACGTGTCCGGATACACCCAGGGAGCACACCCACCCCGGCAGCCCTGCTGAACCCGGAGCCCACGGGATTTGGAGCACCAAACACCGCCAGGCTGCCAGATCTGATTCTCAGCTCAGCCCAGGCCATCAGATTTGATTCTGAACTCAGCCCAGGCCACTCTTACAGGCTGCACTGCTTGCGGAGCGATGGGGCTCTCGCTACCTCCTTCCCCGCTGACAAACCAGTGCTTTCAACACCCAAAGACTGATGTCGCTTAAATGGTCCCAGGCAGGGCTGCGTCCAGCCGGAGCCACCGAGGGCCTGCACAAGGGCGGTTTTAAACCCCTCTCCGCGGATCACCCTTTTCCCGGCTGAGCATGGAGACAATGGAGGCAATTTGTTACCGCCGAGAGAGGCACGGGGGGCCTCGGCCGCTTTCTGCCGCTGCCCCCGGCCCGAGCAGCCCCGCCCGGCCCGGCCCCGCTGCCATGTGCGGGGACAATGCACGCCGGGCCCGGCCTGCGGCCGGCGGGACGCGGCCGGCGGGAAGGGGCCGCGCTGGCGGGCGGGCGGGCCGAGGAGCCGGGGGCACCCTCCCCGCCGCCGCCCCGCTCCCCCTCCCACGGGCCGGCCTCGTCCCCGCTCCCCAGCGCCGCGGCCCCGGCCCAGGCCCGGCGGCGCCCTCACCTCGTTGAGCTGTCGTTCGGCGGCTTCGCGCAGCGCCGGGTCCATGGTGCCCCGCAGGGCCTCGATGATGCCGCTGGGGTCCATGGCGGGGGCAGCGCGGAGGGCAGGGGCCGGGGCCGCGCCGAGCGCACATGGACCCGCCGCCTCCAGCGGCCGCCGGCGCGAAAGGAAGGGAGAGCGCCAAGAGCCCGGATAGAGCTGCCCCCGCCGCCGACGGGAGCGGCGCCCCTTCCGCCGCACGGCCCGCCCCGCCCTGCCGCGGGGCGCCGCGGGAGATGCAGTCCGGCCGGGCACCGACACCCGGGGAGGCGCCGAACAGGCAGTCTTGGTCCGCACAAGCCGCCTCAGGAGCCGCTTCCCCTTTCGAAAGGCCCCGTCACAGTAGCCGCGGGCCGGCACCTCCCGCTCCGCTCCAAACCGAACCGAACTCCTCGGCCGCGCCAACGTTGTGAGGGACCCGTTCGTTGGTTTAGCCAAAATGCCTCCCTTGAAAATCCCTCCCGCATTCGCGCCCCGTTTTCGGAAAGGCTCGTGTGGCTCGGCGAGGAAGGAGGGGTGCGTGGGGACATGGGTTTGCTTTGTCATGGGCATGGGGTGCTGCCGTGCCGGGTTTAGGGTGGTGGGGGAAAAGAGGAGTACAAAAATCCTGAAGATGTGTCAAAGCTTTGTCAGAAAGTCAATACAAACGGAGCTGTCGCTCGTGAAGGGTCTAGGAAATGCGTCTTGTGAGGAGCGGCTGAGGGAGCTGGGATGTTCAGCCTGGAGAGAAGGAGGCTCAGGAGAGGCCTCATGGCTCTCTGGCTCCCTGAAAGGAGAGCACAGGCAGGCAGGGCCCGTCTCTGCTGCTGTGCCGGCAGAGGATCCCAAGAAATGGCCTCAAGATGAGACAGGGGAGATTGAGATTAGATGTTAGAAAAAATGTTCACCGACAGGGTGGGCAGGCATTCAATGGAATGTTCTTGCCCAGGTTCAAGAGGCATCTGAAACTGGTGCTGGGTGATGTGGGTTACTGGGTTAGGGTTACAGACGCAGTGCTGGGTTGGTGGTTGGACGGGATGATCCTGAAGGTCTCTTCCAGCCGTGACAATTCCATGGTTCCATGATACTGGAGGGCCTGACTCAGTCGCAGAGTCATGACTGAGCTGCTTAACTTGGTCCTCTGTAAGTCACTTCATCCTACAAGCATTTGAGCACTGAAGTAATTTCACTTCCATGAGTAGTCACGATAAAATGAGCAATGCTATTTCTGAGTTAGTGAGTTGTAGAATTTAATTGGCACTATACAGTCGTTCACTGTCATGCCTTCATTGGGGGGTGGCATGCAGCAATGTACTTGAAAATTTGGGAGTTATTTTTATGGGAGGAATTTATTGAGCAGTCTGATAAAAGCATAAAAAAAATTTTCACAAACACCTCATCCTGGAATGACTCTGAAATGTAGGCATATCAAAGAGAAAAGCAGAAATGCAAATACAGAAAATAACAAAATTTAAAAGTGATACAATTTAGAAAGTTGATAAAGTCCACTATCTCTTTACAGTTAAGTTAAACAGTTTCAGGAAATCTGGGCTTCTCTAGACTGTCTTTGCATATATGGAACAGCATAACAGACTTGCTTTTGTATATAATTTTCCCAAATTAGTGATTTTTCCATGATTGTCACTGGACTAAAACCTGGGGTTCCCTGTTTCTCATGCTACTGGTTTGTTGTTGTTTTGGGGTTTTGTTTGTTTGTTTGTTTGGGTTTTTTTTACATAATGCTAACAATTATTATTTACACTATGTAGCTTTTTCTTATTACAAGTGTGAAAATGAGCAACTAATTTATGAAACTAAACTGTGAAACAGCAATGAATATCTGCCTTTCTGAGTAAGCACAGGAGACATATGGGCCCAGATGACCGAAGTAGCAATGTGGCATAATTTTGGGACATGATGTCATATGCTGTTCTTTTATGAGTTGCCCAGATCTGCAGTCATACTCCAATTCTAGATGTTGCACAAAATGCTAAAAAAAAGTGAAATACCGTAGATTCAATACCATTACAAAATGCTGCAACAAAGTTTTTTCCCTGCTTTTGTGTCACAGCACAGCTCAAATCTCTTTGTATCAAAGGAGCAAAGCAATCATGCCCCCAGCCAGGGCGCTAAGCTGATCCAACAACTTATGAAACAGAATGTATCTTCTCTAAAAATAAAAATAAGTACTTCAGAGGGCAGAGGGCTCGTGATGTGCTGGTTGTGCATAATGCTCTGTGTCAGAGGTACAGATGTGAAATGCTGCAAAGACAAGCACAATGGGCTGGGAGCCGTCCTCAGCAAAGGTGCTGTGCCTCTGCAAGCTCGTGCCAGAGCTGCTCCTGTTAGGGTACAAAAGTGAGGAGGACAAAAAAAAAAGTTGTGCAAAAGAACGTGTAAGCAATTGTCCAGCCTGAGTACTCTGCAAAAGAAAACCTTGTGTGTCCAGGAATGTTGGCATTGTCCAGGACGTTTGTACTTGCACTTTGCTTGCCCAGGGTTAATAGCAATAGCTAACTTCATAGCAGCATTAATTGCATAAATGACTCACAGAAAACAATAAATGCAGGGCTCAGTCAAGATGGACATTTCATGTCCACAGGAGGCCAAATTTAAGAGGAAACATCTATGAGGTTAAAACAGAATTTTTCACAAATCCGAACATTACATTTGCTGTGGGTAGTTTAGTGTTAGAGAGAGATGAAATGGTAAAACTGGACGAAAACTGACACACCAGCAGTTTGAGTGGAGCAGCCTGAGAGGTGACAAATTACTTCAGATTACAAGGGACTGGTGAGCTGTGGCATCCTTAACACTGAAGTTTGGATTAAATAAATGTACCCACTTCCATCAGATACGTTTCTTGAACAGTATTAGCAGGACAAAAAAGACTTCACACCCATCACAGCACAGCAATTAGTGAGGACTTTGGCCAAACCTATTTAGCAAGCAAAGGGGACATGAATCAATATCTTGCAAGATGCAACCAGATGAGTTGATAGAAAAATTTAATTTTGAAGTCAAATTTCAAATCACAAGAGTTAATATTGGAAAGCAGTACGTCCTTTAGCCAGATAAGCCTCCTCAAATTCTCGGTCTCAGAAGAGAACAAAAAGAAGCGTACGTGCTGCAGCAGGGATTAGCTGCCCAGAACTGTTCTCTGTTGTGTAGGAATGCTTATAGACAACCTCGGGCTGCTGTGGGAGAGCAGAGCCTCTCAAATTATCTCGGAAAGGGCGATGTGGTATTGCACAGGCCTCAAATATTGGATGCAAATCGGTGTCAATTACTCCTGAAGATAAACATGCTCTCCTAGACTGTCTGTCTTGGGGTTTGCAGTCATGTGTACTTTCCCTGGAAAGCTGGAGCAATAACAAAGCCAATGTTTGTCAGCTTTAATAAAGCAAAGTGGTCCTTGGAGCTGACTGTGGAATTGCTTGGCCTGTGTGCCTTTCTGGGATACCAGTCTCTCTACTGTCAGTGAAAAGCCAGAAATCACATGTAAAGACAGCACAGCTATCAAAGATCACCACGTTTGGATGCATTTACCAGATGTTGCTAAAGAACTGTGCATAAATTTTTATGCCATCTACATATTCCAAAAAAAACCCAAAAAAACCCAAAGACAGTAACTGATAAATGCAGCTATCAGCTGTTCTGTGCTGGAACAGATTTGACAGCAGCCAAATTAACTCCAGCTATGCAGAGCATATTCCTGCATCAACAGCATTCCAAATGTCAACCCAGGATTTGGAAAAAAAATACTTGCACATGAAAGTACTTAACCAGTCCTACAGATCCAAAGAGAGTTTGGACAGGAATGAGTGGGTGAACCACCAGCACCCAAAGTTATTGTGGAACTACTTCTGCTAAATCAAAGATGGCAACAGGAAGAAAAAGGTATGCACAGAAATATTGTGCTGATGTGCCAAGTTTGGAAATAACTATTTCTATTAATCTTTTTTTTAAAACCTGAAATGGGATTAAAATATGAAACTACAAAATGAAACATGCTAGTCAACATATTTTGGTGTAAAATTGTCAAACAAAGGTGATTGTTTGAGAAGTTCTCTGATTTGGCTAGGGAAACAGTACAAAATAAATACCTTTCTTTGCTTTAAAATATCTTAGTAGGCTACGACCCTGAGCACACACTGAAGAGATTGAGGACTGGCTAGATTGCAATTCTCAGTTACAAGGTGGTAAGTGAAGAGTGATTATTTAAAGGGCCAATTTCTTCTGGATTTCTACTGATACCACTAGCAGACTCTCTTTGGTACTTTAGGCAGTTTTGAAATAAATACAAAAATCACTGCAAATCGTTGTGAAAATGATGGAAGATTAGCAAAACAATCCTATGTGAATGGGACAGGAGCATAACTTGAAAAAGAAACAGAAATTCACTTTAACACAGCCAAATGAGAAGTTACACATAAAAAAACAGAAAATGAAAGATTGGAAGGATCAGGGATACCATGGACATGCAGGTTGGCTTGAGCTCCCAGCAGGATGTTGTGGCAAAACCACAATTTTTGAGTTGAAATCAGCTGTCTGAAGAGGGGGAGTGGGAAGTGGTTTGTCCCTCCCTCTGGTGGGAAGGGATGGATGTCCATTGCCAGAGAAAAACACCAGCATTTGTGGTTTTTAAGTATTTACGAATTGCAATGCATGAAATACCCCCAAAAGTTGAGATGAAGAGTTTATTCTCCTCATCTGTCTGAGACCTACTTGAAATGTCCAGTTAGGTTTAAGACAAGAGACATGAGGAGTCTCAGTTGCTGTTTGTCACTACAGTTGTGCTGCGGTGAAACAGAGATTTAGCAGGCAGAGTAAGGGTGGTTCCTGCAGAGTCCCTGATCTGGGGCTGGCTCTAGCCAAAGGAGCAGGATGCCAATGTATGTCCAGCTCATGCTTTCACAGCTCCCTTTAATCTGCTTTAGTCAGCTGGGAGTTGGCTTTACCCCCAAGGAGAACTTTGCTGAAATTTCTTCAGCATTTTTTTAGTGAGGAAGGCACTACGCTCCTTGCTTCACCCCACCAAAAACCCCAGGAGCCATCCCCACCCCCTCCAGCCAGATGGCAAGGCTGGAGCAGATGCTAAAGCCTGGATCCAAACAGGTTTCCCAGGGGACAGATGCTGAAAACAAGATTCAGCCATTAGCTGGTGGAAGTGTCTGCAAGTGGAACAGCAACACTGAGACGGAGCAGCAAAGAAACAGTTGCTGTAATTCAGCCAGGGTATTAAGGTCCTGAGTAAATGTCAAGGAGAGAGAGCTTCCTTAGAGCTTTAGATCAATAGTTTGCTAAAAAAAAAATGAAAACACCCCAACAAACTAACAAAACCAGGAAATACAAAAATCTCTGATGTGTGATTCTTCTGAGATCGGAAAAACTGGACATCTTCTTAATAAACATCTCTTCAAAGATGCAGGAGTCCCTCGTCAGTTCTTACTTTTTTCAGTTAACTCTGGACAGCAAGGTGAGGAAAAAAGAGAAAGGTCAGGAAGACAATAGTGGGTACTGAACATCTCTTTAAGGAATAAAGTTGTAAGAGGAACAAATGTCTAACAGGTGAAACTAGAGAGTCACTGAAGAAAATTCCCAGTGGCACTAATTGGTACTTTCTTTTCTCCAAGTGAGCCTGGGTGCAGTTGTGGAAGATGTTTTAGTGAAAACACAAGCTGTCCTTCAGTCAAACCAACAAGATTAGGGCTTTAATAAAAAACATGTGCATAAAACTTGAACAGGATGTTGGACTAGATAATGTGATGATGAACTGCACAGTATTTTGGATTTTGCTGTTTGCTGTCAGGTTAGATCTATCTGCTCCTGGAGGCTGGGTTTGCACTGTGTGGAAGTCCAGCTAATGCAGCCCACAGCCTGCTTCAGGCCCTGTGTGACAGACAGAGGAGCAGGAGTGTCTGTGACCTGCGGCAGTTCCACTCCTCCTCCTCCCTCTTGCTCTGTTTTCCACCCTGTATATTTATATTTCACAGCCCTGAGGGAAAATGCCACTTACAGAGCTGCACAGTGGTGGCTTGGTGACACCCTGGGGAGATAAGCAGCAGACAGCCGCTGGTATTTGTGGCATTAAGATGACACTCGCAGTTCATGTTTTTTTTTTTTTTTTCCACAGTTTTGATACAGTTGCACAGGCACAGAAGTTACAAAGGCATCAGTGGAATTTGTTATACTGTTTTAAATGAAAACTCAATGAAAACTCTGTGCTGAGAATCGCAGAAGTACAGTGTGACCTCACAATAATGCCTGTGATCATGGTGTTCTCCAAGAATATCTCTTTAAATGCATGATGGGAGTTGGTTTATTTTGTTTTTGCAAGGAAACAGGTATGTCCTTTCCTTACTGTTACAGTAAATAGAACTGCAAGCTTATTTATTTTTTTATGGTTGCTCAAATGGACAGCTGTGAATCCAATGTAATGTTGACTTCACATTTTGAGGAAGCAAATGGAAAGAAAATTTAAGTATAAGGGGTGTATATCTATGAATTAGGGTTCAAGCAGATGTTGATTTTTAAAACACAAGCTTTCTAATGCAGTTTTTACAGCCAAGATGCAACAATAAACTGGAATTGTTCAGAAAGAATTGTGAAAATACTCAAGCTGTCGAACAGGCAAAAATTTCCAGAACTTCTGAAGAGTAAAAAAGAATATTTAAGCTATAAATTTAATTGTATAACTAAATATGTGTGCAAGCTATATGTACATTTATCAAGCTATAATATTTCATTCAATTTAATAAGACAGAGAGTTCTGTTTAGAATAATTTTAGTCTTTATAATCCTATCCTGTTTCCATTTAGATTGATTCAATTACGAATACAGTAGAACAGGATTTCATTATATTAAAAATTCACTCAGAATAAATTCTCAGCACCTAGGGAGAGCTTTTCATATGCAAGGAACTACAAACACACATTAAGAATTTCAGTAATCTAGCAGCACAGCATTGAGTTTGTGAACTCATGCCAGTCACACAACTCCAGGCAGTGCCTCCAGGACACACCTGTGTTTGGGAAGTGTGCCAGCGTGGCTCCTCAGGAGCCTGTGAGGCATTTTGGATCAGTAAAAATGATTGACCTCTGGTGATGACCACAGCCTTAACTTTGTATTTGGGATTTATTACAAAAAAGAAAACACATTTTGGCTGTGCTGGCATGGTACATTATTCCTTTTTCTTACTTTTCCATCTTTTCCCATCTGCCTTTCCCTCTGTCCTTTGTAAACTTGCGGAGACAAAGCAAAGTACTCAGAGAGTAAAGTTTCTGGATTTCTGCAGAGCACAGGGGGAGCAGAGAGATAGAAAAGGAGTAATTTATGCAGGAAAAGTGTAAAACCACTTTGGTGACTTTGTAGAATATACAGCTGAGGTAATCACAGCTGTGTTAGCAGAGGAGGTGAAGAACTGGAGCTACAGAGCCAAGTGTGGTTCTTGGGCCTGGCTGCAAAGGGAGGAGATGACTGAGGCAGGGTGAATTCTGTGTGCTGAGAGGAAGCTCAGTAAAGGCAGACGTAAAAGAAAGACCCAGGGGCACACAAGGAAGTGCTCACAGCTCACTGGGAGAAAAACTGAGATGAGATAACAGACTTTGTGAGCAGCAAATAAGCCAGCAAGTTTATGTAAAAGTATTAAAATAAACATACTTTCCTGTTTGATTCCTGATTCATTAAGTGAATAATAGCTTTTGATATATTTTTAAAATAAATTACATTTCATTAAACTACCTTACATTTTTATGAAATTACTTTTTTATTACAAATATTTCAATAAATCATAGTCTTAGATAACTGCTTATGTTAAAGGAGTCAAAAATAACAAAATTAGCGTTGGCAAACATGGAGATAAAACAAAGATAAATAACAGAATTGGAGTGTATTAAAAATACATTTTTATAAAACAAAATTATCTTAATTTTCTTTTACTTGTATTTAAGAGGTTATCAGATTAGCACTTTTTATTGGGACACTCATAGTTGTTATTCCTTGAAAAGCTATACAATTCATTATTGCTGTCCAAAAGGGTTTAATATGTTTTCTATTTGGTTATATTGCTTTAAATACCGGTATTTTCTAATGTAACAAAGGCAGTCACAATGCTGGAATGTGCAAACATAGGACTTATGCTGACCTTTGTGTAAATTGCTAAAGAAATACAGGTATGAAAACAAGTGATGACACTGATAATAGTCCAGCTGTGCACAGGTCTGTGTTTCCTGGTGACTATGGGTGCACCACCAATTGTTTATGTAGAGCAACAGGTGGAACAGCTGGAGCAGCTGCTCACAAATCCCCACTCCTGTGGCTTCCAGGCCACAGGTAGCCAACAGCTGGATTAAAATTCCAGTACCTGCAGCAGCAAGGCAAGGCAGGAAACAGGAGAAATGTATTGCCCGTGCCCATGTCTTTGTCTGAACAAGGCTCTGTGTCTTTTCCAGGTGTTTTGTGAAGTAACAAGGTGGAAAATGCTTGCCCCTCATTTCACCTTTGGTGGGCACATGAATGATGCATGCAGGATAACGTCATGTTCTCAGGAGAGCGAGGAGCTGTGTCAGCTTCCCTGGGCACTCCTCGTAACCTTTGGCACCTGCTTGCCAGCATCCCTCTGTTCCACTCCTGGCCTTTCCTGAGCTGAAGGGATTCCTCACTTCAGAATGTGAAATGGATTTTCATTCATTGTCTGTCAGGTTGACAAGGTAAAATCATTAATTGCTATAACTAAATCAAGGTTAGAGTTTATTAAAGCATTTGGATGGTGTAGTATTGCCAGTACAGCAAGTAATTCCACACAAAAATCAAATGATGGTTCAGCTTCAGTAAGGATTTCTACGGAATAATGGCACACCAGATTCTTGTGGTTATTATAACCTCACCTATCAGTCTTCCTGTGGGCTCCTTTTATTTTCTCCATGTTAGTGTTACTCATTCAGAAATTATTACATCATATTAGTTAATAATGTCTTACTCAAGCACCTGACATTTCTTTTCTGCAGTCACTGGTTTTAGCCAATTTTGTTGCAGGGAACAGGCCAAAAAGCTGCTCTTGTGGTTTATCCACAGGCAAAAGGGAACTACTATTTCATGCAGTAGAAAACATGCAAATTTCTTTATTGGTATTTGTAGATCAGGATTTCTGCATTCAGCCAAGGTATCTGACAGGATACTTGTTTAGGACTGGGTGCATAATGTTCAAAATTGAAATGGTTTCCTTCACACAACTGCCTTTAGGTGAAAAGAGTCGATTCTTATCAGACTGTCCCATTTAATCTCTAATCCTGATTAACAACTGATTTTGTGATGCTCATTTAGTATGATAGTAAGTGCTATCAGTCATATTATAGCTTTTTCAATTAATTTAATAATTTCCCTAAGGAATACACATACAGCAAATAGTTTCTCTGAATGTTGGCAGCTCTTCTAAAATGTTTCAATTAAATCACGTTTTCACCCTTCTGATATTGCTCTGAATTTTAATTATTTTCCATTGCAGACTACTGGTTTAATGATGACCTGAATACATTTCTTAAAAACTAACTGTGGGTGTGGCTGCATACAGCAAGGGTTTGTTCCTTGTGAACTGGTTATTGCCCACTCTTTATGGCTGTTTTCTGCAAGCACTTAGACCTTAGAGGTCAGATCAGGACAACACTGAGCACTCTCACTGCAGACATTTTGTACCTCACAGAAAAAGCAATCTAGATGAAAATACAGAGTGACATTTGCACGTATTATGATTAGACCATGCATTCTTAAATTGTCAATTATGAAATGCATTGTTACAGGAAAAAAAACTTCTTCCTTTCTAGTTTCAAATGCAAGTCATGCAATTTATTTGAAGGTTGCAAGAAGTCCTTACAATATGGGAAACATTTAGAAGATATAAATTTTTTCTCTGGAAGTTTTGCTTTTTTTTTAAAGTAATGCTGAATTTTTCTACTTTGCCTTTTTCTTTACTCTGGTTTCTTCTACAACCTGTTTCACACTCCCATATTACCTGAACACACTTCCCCCTCTTTCTTTCCCCATCAGACTCATTGTTCCACATTTTCTTCCCGAATCAAGTGTCTATCATGTCACTTTTTTCCCAAATATTTGCTGGCCTGCACTTCCAAAGGTCCAAAATTTTTCCTTTCTTACTCCTTTAAGATAGAAGATTTTTTCTATCAAAATCAAGGATCCTCTTTAGCAACAAAAGCAACTGTGTTTGTGAGCACAAGCAGTGAGCAGCTTGGATTAGCCAACTGCTATAATTCTGGGTTCATTGATGATAAGAAGAGATTCAGAAGCAATACAAAAAGCAGCAGCACTTCAAACTGCCAGTGTGAGAAGAAGGTTGATTAAACTAGTGCCCCTGACTTTTCCTCATCTAGCTTATTTCTTAAAATTAGGGGACAGAGTTAGGACCTCAAATCAGGGCAAATTAAAATAAAAGGAAGCTTTCTTTATCACAGTGCAGCCTACTTACTGTCAACAAACAAAATGCAGAAAGGAAATGTCAATAGACAGTTGCAATGATATTTTCAAGAACCTAGCAGCAAGAGGAGATCATTCAGGTCCTGATGAGTTCCAGCAGGAAGTTCCACTTGGGCCTTTTGAGGGCAGCAGAAAAAGCAGCTTAAAAAACCACTTGATTGCACTCTGCAGCATTAATTTCTGTCATTGCTCCAGAAGATCAGACATGGTCAAAGCTACACACCCCAGCATGTGTTCAACACTGGGAGGTGGTCTGAAGCTGATTCTCCAGACCACCAGTCTTTGGTTTAACTGAGGTGAAACTTCAATTCCACATTTGTAGGAGCAGAATCTGTAACAGCATCTAAAGAAAAATTTAAATGGGTCTTTGATCAAATTAAAGGTAGTGTTTTTATCAGCATGGAATAACTTATATTTGGAAACTTTTGCCCTCCAGACAGATATGTCCAGCTACATCACTGCTATAGATTAGAAGGAATCCTTGAAGGAACATACTCCTCTTAGCAGAACATTGGAATTTTCAGCTATGTTAGTATAAACTCAGCTTCAGACAGGGTATAAATCTGATCATTACATTTAATCCTACCCTAGCATTAAATATGAATCATGACTAATGGGTGTGTCTCGGGATAAGGGCCTGTGCATTCCCTACACAGAAATTTCTGACTGTGATCGTTATCACAAGCAATAAACACCAGGTTATAAATACCTCAGCTGCAGAGCAGAGCTGCATGGCTGAAGCCTTGTGCAGCTGCTTTTGAGTCAAGCAAGGACTCTCCCTGCAGCTCCACATCCCACTTTCCTCTCCTGCTGCCTTCCTTTTGGCCTCCCCTGACCATGCTCTGTTCTGCTCTGCTCTGTGTGGGCTCTGCTGTGCTCCACAGGTGCCCCCGAGAGCTTTGAAGGAGACTCTGAGCTAGAATAAGGTGCCAGGAATATTTTGTTGCTTTGGAAATATTTTTGTTTCCCTTGCTACCTGTCTTAAAGAGTTGACACTGTCTGAGTTCTTCAATGTATTTGCTGCCTGAGCCCATTCCCAGAACTCAGATGCTGTAGGTTGGGCTAAAAGCTGGGATAAGGTGATTGATTTTTTATCCCTCCTCCTGTTACAAACACTAACTTGGTTATTACTGCCAGGAGGACACCTGAGATTCTTTGGACTGTGATGAGAACTCCCTCTTTATTGGCATTTTTAATAAGAGATAGGACTTTTTAGAGAAGGTGCTTTCCAAGGCTGGGGGGAAAAAAAAGAATTATAAGTAAGGTCTCTGAAAGTTGGAACTACATTTAAGGAACTTGACAGACCTTTCATGTTTCTCAGCTGGGGTGGCATAAGCTTATTACAGGGTATGTTTCACTCCTAATTTGCAGGAAGACAAAAGAACCTTCAATTCCTGGTTTTTGCATTCAAGTAGAGGATATGAGCAGACTGACCAGAAAAGTTTCTTTCCCCAGTTCATGTACTCCACTGACATATGCAATAGGCAAAAAAAAAAAAAAAAAAAAAAAGAAGCTGGCTGTTAAAGAGGATTTATTGACTATTAATTATGAAAAAGATGTGCATCAGAATTGACAATCTAGCTCTTATTTTTACCACTTGGAATAGAAATATCATAGCTATCTGTTTCACTGTGTTCCTAGGTAATTAAGCAGTAGTGAAAATAGGTGCACACTATTAAAAATCTGCACTTTGTACATGAATCTGTGTACAGTGTACTGTCTGTACATATGTGCAGTATGTAGCCAAAATATACATAAAATGGACAATAGGACTTTCTATACTTTCTATAAAAAATACCAGGAGAGAAACAAATCTGTATACTTATGATCCCTGAGCTCAGATTAATCTCATTTTAATGTATACAAGTTCTGCTCTCATTTGCTGTTTAGTAATTTTTTCAGCTTCTGTCCTGGAGCACTGACTTTTGTAAATAAAAGCTTTCATTAACTCTCCTTTGGTCTCCAAGAAAGTTTTAATCCTTCATTCACACAAACAGCTACAAATAAGTGTTCATTTCTATTTATCTCACTTGTTGGTGACATTTTTTATTCATTTTGGTCGGTGCATTTGCATCCTATCCTGAGTTGTCTCCTGTGCAGCTGGTTATTCTCCAGTTACACCCTGAGACTCCTCACCATAACTGATCAAAGTCTGAGCTCAGTAAAACACACAAGCCCTCTTCCAAGCACATAGGTTTATTTGGTTTAAATTACAATTTAGATAGAATGACAATAAATGTTTGAGGTTTAATTTCTTGCCAAATTTATACAAAATAAAAATGTTAAAACAATGCAGTTTGCTTTGTGTTGGTCAAAAATAAGACAGTAATAGGGGGAGAAAAGGGTTCTGAATCTGCACTTCTTGAGAAATTATATGTATGATTTGCTTGTTGATTAATGTTTCTGGTTTTTATAATTTTCAGCTAGAAGCTCTCAGGAGCAGGATCACTCTCAGTCTCTCATCCTCCTTCCTCTTGCTGACAATTAGCATCACAGTCCACAAAGCATCAGCAGTGTCAGTGCCTCAGCCATGTGACATGGGCGCTATCAGCCCATCTAGGAGTGATTTAGAAAAGAGGCAAACACAAGTTTCTGTGCTGAGGAAAGACAACTCTTTCAATCTGACAAAAATAAAGCATTTCATCCAGCCACCCACAGAAGGAAGTGACTTCATGGAGCTGACCACTTAGCTGCTGCCCTGATAGATGTCAATCTATTTTGTTACTTTCCAGCAGGTTAGAAAAACATTTTTCTTTTTGGTTCACAGATACCTTGAAAGAACTAATACTCTTGAGTTTAAGCTGTATTTTCCAAAAAGCATTTCATATAAAGCTTTTGGCCCTTTGAGTCTCTAGCCTCTAAGTACAGAGAGAGAGTGCTGTTCCCACTGGTAAAGTCACGGAGCAAACTCCAGCTGGAGACTGGAGTCCTTCTCTCATTCCTCTGCTGGGCAAAGCATTCTGCAGTGTGTGTTCCCTACCAGGTGGGGATGCTCCAAAGACAGGGCAGGTTTTGTGCTGTTTCTTAAGTTATACATTGCATATAGGAGATGCTTTATACACGATGAGAGTAAATCTGTTTTCAGTCCCTAGCTATGCTTCCCAGTGTGCTGTGGAGTGAAGCTGTTCCTGGCAGTGCTGATCTCAGCCATGTGTCAAAAATTTCCTTGATACTCACTGAGCTCCAGCTACCAAAACTCTATCCTCTGAATACATACAGGATGTGGCCTATGGCAGTATTTTTCATTCTTTGCCTTCTTTCCAGTAAGTAAATCTAACTTAACCTTCTAAATAGAGTTCCTGAATTATTTTATTTGCAGAGTGAGCCCTAAAGAACATTCCCCAGACATGTCCTTTTTTTTCCTGAGTGAGTGCAGAGGTTCTGCTGACATTTGCTAGGTGTGGACATCTTTGCAGGGGACTATTCAAATTATCAGCAGATACTAAACACCACTGATAATTTCAAAGTTTAGTGGAACAGACAACACATTCACACCAGCAGTACCCCCCAGCAAGGGGAACCAAGAACAGTGAAGAACAGTTTAAAAATCTGCTGCTAATTCAGTCTAACAAATATAATTTGTGCAGTACATATCAACTGCAAAGTGACCTAGCTAATGAATCCTTAAATTTCACTCTGGCAGCAATTCAGAGAGCTGGAGCTCCCTAAAAGTGAGGTGATTAGAGCTATCTTCTCTATTTTTAATGAGACATATACTAACACTGTGAGCTTACTGCAGAATCAGCATCCTGGGAATCATGTGCAGGCCATGTGCTTTCTACTAAATGGAAGGGGAAACACGAAGCAAATCTATATTGTTGAAATTGCTTGTTGGGGGTTTCACAGTGGTGTCTTGGACAGGGGAACTGCAGAGAATTCAGAAAGAATCAGAAGTTGCTTGGTCTGTATGTCAGTTCACCTGCAGTTGGGTTACACACTGGGGCTACACAATACAGAGCAGGTTAATTAGAAATCAGGCATCCCCTGGAGCAGGCTCTGCCCAGCTCCTTGGCTCTGAGTGGCTCCTGAACAACAACCACACCAAACTGGGATTGATATTCCACTGAATGAACAATCCACCAAAATGAGACATGGCCCTTGCAGCGTTTAGCATCTACGGTTTTAAATTGTGGTACTTATTTTGTTTATATCTTTCAGTCCACACCTTTCCTCCTCTCTTTCAGGATGACTTGGTAAAGATTCCTCTGCATAATAATCTGCTTTCAGATTTTGCTTCCAACATTCTTCAGTTTAGTATCTATTTGATGCTTTGTCACAAGTTAGTCAGAGAGGAAAGAAGTCCCAGTGTTTGAATCATTTTACCTGGAGTTTCAGAAGTAATAACCAAAAAGAGATGACAAACATGATGTGCATTTACAATAGGGGGAAAAGTTCCATTCTCTACAGTGTCAGCAATTCCCATCTTGCTAGTATGTACAATTTTCTAGTGAAAGGTTTTGAAAAAACAAAGGACTCCCTCATCTGGCATCAATGCCCAGAGCAGCAAATTCATAGACCTAACTGGCTTCTCAGGGCACTAAATTCCTGAATTATCAATTGCAAATATTAAAAGAGCTAATTATATGATTTAATTAAATAATTTTAAACAATTTGATTCTAAAAGAAATCAATTCGGAGTAAATTATAGGTTAACATGGAATCTGCTTGTGATTTGAAGCTTTATGTGGAATCTGACCACAATTTATAGCTTGGATTATTTCCTGCCATTGGATTTGGCAGGGGCTGTACTTGGGTAATAGCTTATTAAACTATTTAGATCTTAAATGAATCATCAACTTCCTGTAACACCAGCGAGTTTTGTACATGTAGCAATAAAGCCACGCTTTTAAGAGCTCCGCTGTGTGCTGACCTGCATCTCCCCCATGGCTTTGGAAACATCTGTGATCTCGGGAAGCACAACCTGTAAATACCACTGCTGTGAAACAACTGATCTGCTGGGTCCTGTATCAGCAATTTAAGAGCTCTTTAGTCACGGCGTAAAGGTGGAGTAATCAGACAAACGAGGCTGAAGTTAAATCTGCGTGTCCAGCTCTCCCAGGAGAGCTTCCTTTCCAGAAGACCCTGAGGAAAGGTTGGACATTTATTAGCAGACACGGCTGGAAAAGAGACGGGGCGGGGGAGTCAGTAGCTGCGCCAGGCAGCCCGTGTGCCCGGAAGGTTGTGCAATGTGCGCTGTCCGCGGGCTTCAGCGCTCTCCGTGCTCTCTCTCCCCGGAGAGCTCTCCCTGTAACACTCTGTGCCGCCCGGGCACTTGGCACGCTCGGGGATCTCCTGCTGCGGAGGAAAAGGTGCTTCGAGGTCACGTTCGGCGTGAAGGCCACGGAATCTGCGAACACTGGGACGTGCCCCTCTGGCTTTTCTGCGGGATTTCAAGCGTTCTTACTGACAGGAACGGACGTGAGGAAAATTCCGGGGCTGATAGAGGAATTTTCCTTCTTCCCGGCAAATAGGCTTTCTTTTCGAACGAGAGGAACAAACTCAATAAGGTTCCCCTTTTCCTGGAAGCCCGGCACTGTTCCAGCGCCAGAGGCGCCTGGGGCTCCCGCCTCCCGCTCCCTGAGGGGAGATCCCGCTCCCCTCGCTGATGTAAAGCCATTGCCGAGGGAAAAGGGCTCGCAGACGGGCTTTATCCCGCTGCCCTGTGGCACGGTCGGCGCCGCAGTGTGTCCAGAGAAGGGAAACGAAGCTGGGGAAGGGTCAGGAGCGCATCTCCTGTGGGGAGCGGCTGAGGGAGCTGGGAGCCTGGAGAAAAGGAGGCTCAGGCGGGACCTACGGCTCTGCAATTCCCGGAAAGGAGGGTGTAGCCGGAGAGGGTAGGGGTCTTCCAGGCAACCCGCGACGGGACAAGAGAACACAGCCTATAGAACTTCTCCGCGTGTGCCAGGGTGGGGTTCAGGTTGGACATCAGGAGGAATTTCTTCACAGAAGAGGTGATTAGACACTGGAATGACCGCCCACGGACGTGGTGGAGTCACCGTCCCTGCAGGTGTTCAAGGAACCACTGGACGTGGCACTCAGTGCCATGGTCTAGTTGACACGGCGGTGTTCGGTCATAGGTCGGACGTGGTGACCTCAGAGGCCTTTCCCAAACCTAACTGATCCTGTGATTTATGTGATTTATGTGATTTCTCCGCAGCCAGGGCCGAGGAACCGGGCTGGGACACCGCCGCCCCGCGCCGTATTTACCAGTAGTGAGCGCACTCCCGTTACCGTATATACCCGCACGGGTACGCCCAAAGCCGGCGTTACCGTATTTACCGCCACTAACCCGCCACCGCGTTTCAAGGACGTGGAGCCCAACACGTGCTCCCGTACACCACAGCAAAGCCGTAATGCCCCGAGAAAAGCGCATGCGCCGTGCGGCGGCGGGGGCGGGAGCGCGGCCGCGACCCGGTGGGGTGAGGAGAGGAGGAGCGGCCGGTCCCGCCTCCTCCTTCTCCTCCTCCTGCCCGCGGTTGCCGGTGCTGCCGATCCCGCCTCCTGATCCCCGC